TGTTTTGATTGATATACACAACTGTTTTCTACCACACGTGTCACTTCCCACAATTCATTTGATTTTAACCATATGCACAGGCCAAAAAAAAAAAAAAAAAAAAAAAAGGTAAATGGTGGATTCTCTCTAAAAGTTCACTCAAGGATACACTTTTGCCTTACTGTGAATGTACCCCAAACCAATTTGGACCTCCTCCTGCACAGGGTGATCGGGGTGCATTGGGAATGTATTTGAATAGGAACTCTAAGTTTGATGGTCATTAAGGTAGGGGAGGGGCTGGAGAGGTGGCTCCGTGCTTAAGAGCTTAGCGGTTAAGAGTGATTAAGAGCTCCTCTTCCAGAGGACGAAAGATCAATTTCCAGCACCCGCACGGTAGCTCAAAACTGTCTGTTACTCTAGTTTCAGGGCATCTGACATCCTCTCCTGGCCTTGCAGCGCACCAGGCACATAGTGTATGCTGCATAGACATATATGCAGACAAAATGCTCACGCACATAAACTTAAAAATAAGAGGAGGATATGTTCTGCTGTTCAGGAAGGATGTGCATATCACTCACAGTGGAACAGTGACCGAACACAGGGTTGTAAAAGTGGTAAATAGGGAAAGCCCTTTCAAAATGTGAGGTAGCGCTGGCAGGAACCACAACTGGATTACTGTCAGATTAGCTTGAAGCTCTGAAACTGTGGAAACAATGGGAGAGTGCACATCTGCAGCTTCTCAGACCAAAACTGTGGAGGGAGTTTCATCTGTGATTTTATAGGCAGAGAAAGATGAGACTGAATTTGATCCCTGGAACTCACAAGGTAGAAGGCGAGAACTGGCTCTCAAAAGTTGCTCTTTGACATCTACTCTGTGTGTGTGTGTTTGTGTGTGTGTGTGTGTGCATGTGTGTGTGTAAGGGGAGGGGGTTGTGCTTGTGTTAAGGCTAAGTGGATTGGCTTGTTACCTTGGTTCAGTGAGACAGACATAGGTTTTGAAATGGAATGAATTTCGAGTAAGTGTGAATTGAAGGCTTATGGCTAGAAGGGCAACTTTAACAGCCTTGCCTTGGATCAATGAATTTTGCTGGAGAAACATCAGACATTTAAAATTCAGTTCTCTGGTTAACAGACAATGCTTTTGTGCGTAGGGAGCGGGAAGGGCCAGGAATTTCCACCCATGGCTTCTTCTGCCACATGCTGGCTGGTCCTTGTTGCTGTCTGTGTGGGAGGGTAGCTACTCAGCCTATTCACTGAGCTCTGGTTCTCAGATGGAGTCTCCCAGATGTTGACTGAGAGAGGAGCTTGTTTGAACTTCTCTCAAATTTTGGGGAGCCTTGCCTAGTTACCAGAGAAATTTAGGTCCCCACTTTGTCTTCTTGGCCTCACTAATAAAATAATTTAAGAGGAAATCTCAAAGATGATTTATTAGAATTTAAAAGAAAAAACAACAGGGCAGGCAAGCTGCCAGGAAGGAAGAAGAGGAAGAGAGGTGGCCATGACTTTTGAGTTAGTCTGGGATGTTTGGAAATGGAGGCCAGCAACCAGACATAAGGTAGATAAGCAGCTTTGTGGCCCCAGATGAGGAACTTTAGAGAAAGAGTGAAGAAGCCAACAGTGTCAGAGAAAGCATGTACAAGTACTGGTCAGTATCTAAAGGAAAGGAAAGACATTTTTTAAAAAAGAAAAAGAAAAATACTTATCTTTTTCTGAGCAATTTGGAATATCAGAAAGGCTTATCAGAGCCACATGGAAACAAAGACAACAAGATTAACATAAGGCGGGGGGGGGGGGGCATGAGATGACTGGCTCAGCAGTAAAAGTACCTGTTGTCAAGCCTGAAGAACGGAGTTTAATCCCCCGGTCTTACATGCTGGAAAGTGACAACCAAGTTGTCCTCTGACTTCCACATGTGTACCTTGCAGAAAATAAATATAGTGTAATAAAAAAATTGAATGCTTAATGTAAAAGAAGTCACTTTGTAGAGGGAAATGGGCATGGTGGACTGCGTGCAATTCCAGCCTCAGAGGACCAAGGCAGAGAAGAGCAGAGCAAGCTCACTGAAGAGAGCAGCTGTATTGATGAGCTCTGGGTTTGACTGAGAGAACCTGACTCAATGAGTAAAGAACAATGAAAGATGGATCTGGACCTCAACTGTGTACCACATGCATGTGCACCCACACATGTGTAACACACACACACACACACACACACACAAAACAGAAAGGAAAAAGGAGACAGACTGGAAGCCTTTACTTACCTGGGTTTTTAATAAACAGAACATTCTCTTTTTTTTTCTCATAATTCTTTTTTTTTAAAATTAGACATTTTATTTACAATTCAGATGTTATCCCTTTACCCCATTTCCCCCTGCCCAGGAGCCCCCTAGCCCATCCCCCCTCCTCCTGATTCCATGAGAATGTGCTTCCACCCACCCCCCAACTCCCACATCCTCACCCTCAAATTCCCCCACACTTGGTGTCCAACCTTCATGGGACCAAGGATCTCCTCTCTCACCTATGTCTGACAAGGCCATCCTCCCCTACATCTACAGCTGGAGCCTTGGGTCCCTCCCTATATGCTCCCAGGCTGGTGGTTTAGACCTTGGGAGCTCTGGTTGGTTGGTATTGTTGCTCTCCCCATGGGGTCCGAAAACCCTTTCAGCTCCTTCTCTCCAAGGCCTCCATTGAGAACACTATGATCAGTTCAATGGTTAGCTGTGAGCATGTGCCTCTGAATATGTCAGACTCTGGCAGACCTCTCAGGAGACAGCTATATCAGGCTCCTGTCAGCATGAACTTCCTGGCATCCACATCAGCGTCTGCCTTTGATGACTGCACATGGGATGGATACCCAGGTGGAATGGTCTCCAGATGGCCCCTCTTTCAGTTTCTGCCCCACACTTTGTCTCCATATTTGCTCTCTTCAGTATTTTGTTACTCCCCTAAGAAGGACTGAAGCACCCACACTTGGTCTTCTTTCTTTATGAGCTTCATGTGGTCTGTGAGTTGTATCTTGGGTATTGCAAGTTCAAACAGAACATTCTTGAGAAAAGCCTATGGAATACAAACTGGAGAGGCAGGGGCTATATAGGATCCTTCAGGCAGATCCTTCGAGGACTCTTTCCTCAGTTCTCTGTCCCACTTCCACTTTTGGGAGTGTTTTTCCTTTTCAATAATCTGCCTCTATTTCTAGTTCTAGTTACAAGTCCCTGGCATAGTTATTTTACCCCAGGACATAAAAGCCTGGGATTCTGTGCTATCTGAGCACTATCTCATGACTCAGCACTCCTAAGCATGTGTTGCCTGAGACTCTGGGCTTCCTCACTGTTTCTCTGACCTCCATGACTAACTTAAAAGACATGACTCCTTTATCTCCTCTGCCAGGATTTTCAGCTTGCCTCTTCTGTTGTTTTTCTCTCAAACTCTTAATAAAAATGTCTTTGGGCTTCTTTCTGAGTAAATTTTTAATTCATTTTATTAATGAGACTAAGGATCCTCAAGAGGAAACCAAGTAACAAGTCTATCTGACAGCCTCTTCTTGAGGGTTAAATGAATTAAAAGGAGACATGTTCTGGGAAAGAGTATGTGCTGACATGGAGTAACTAGTTCGTTCTTTGTCTCTGTCTGTCTGTCACTCTGTTTCTTGATCTCTGTTTGTCTCTGTTTCTTAGTCTCTGTCTCTTTGTCTTTCTGTCTCTTTGTTTCTTTCTCTCTCTCCCTCCCTCTCCCTCCCCGCCCCCGTAAATGTAATTGAACCTAGAAACCCCTTTCAGGGGTTGATCCTTTTAATTAAGGGCTCTCACTAATAGGGCTGGGGAGGAGTGGCTCCCTGTACTGCTCCTAGAAAGAATGGAGTAAAGAGACAGAAGGGAGAAGGGCCCATTTGGAGACAGATGGAATAATCCAAAACAACTCTTTACTTCATTTTTATTTATCCACTTTACACCCAGGTTGAAGCCCTGTCCCCACTCCCACCCTCAGAAGTTCCTCTCTCTCCTTCTCCTTTGAGAAGGGGAAGTTCTCCTTGGGTACCAGCCCACTCTGGGATATCAGGTCATTGTAGGACTAAGCATGGCCTCTCCCACTGAGTCCCAACTAAGCAGACTAGCTAGTGGAATGGCAGGCAACAGAGTCAGAGACAGCCCCTGCTCCAATTGTTAGGGGACCCTCAAGAATACCAAGCTGCACATCTGCTATAAATGGGTAGGGAGCCTAGGTCCAGCCCCTGCCTTCTCCCAAAACAACTCTTATGGAATGGCAGGGAAGAGCCTGCTTTGTTTGATTCAAGAGGAAATTGGAGGCATGCTCACAGCCAGTAAGCATAAATAATTAATATGGTAATTTGGCTAAAAATAGTTTAGTAGGTTTTTGTGGGTGGGGGAGGTAAATTGTACACATGCCTGTGCTAGGCAAATGTTCTATCATGGAGCTTAAACAGAGACCATGGTTGCTGAGAAAGCCTCACAGAGATCTTCCTGCCTCTGCCTTCGGAATGGTGGGATTAAAAGCACATATATCACACCGGTTTACATGATTAAATATCGATTGCTGAACCTAGGCTCCAGCAAATAGCTCAAAACTCTTGGTTACACAGATGACCCTGATTAAAAGCCAGTCAAAGAAAAAGACATAAATTAGAGAAAGGAATTTGTATGGAAGATCAGAGTGAATAAAAGGTCCCCAGATGCTGGACATCTGGAAGATGGCCGAACCGGGCTGGCACCAAACATTAGGGATTCCTCTAAACATCATGCAAAGTCACACAGAGGTCCAGGAAGGGGAGGGGCTTGTATATGTTGAGGTCCGGAATAGAGCAGTTCTGGGGAGCTCGGGTAGGGGTGTGTCACAGTCCACACCCGTGGAACGTGCTGCGGGATGGTTCTCTCGGGTGTGGAAGGCGCGGGGTAGTGTTAGCCAATTAGAGGCGAGGGAAAGAAGCGACCAATGATAACCGGCTTTTACGGGTAGCTTTTTCAGCGAGATTCTAGTTTGGCGCACGCGCGTCACGCTGGACTACGGGGCGCGGCAGAGCCGAGTGGGCAAAAGGGCCACCACCGCACACTCTCGAGTCACGTGACCCTGAAGCGGCCGAGTTCTACCGCAGTCAGGGACCTATCCAATAGGCAAAAGTCATAGGGCCTTGTTTGGGAGTGGGCGGAAGGGAGTTCTACGTAGTGGAGTTGAAGGAGCATCGTATTGAAATGTGACCTCGGCCGGAGGCCAAAGGTCAAGAGTCCGGTTGGGGGGCGTGTCCTAGGCTGCCCGACCCGATGGGGGCGTGGCCTTACGACTCAATGACGTAAGCGCGAGGCGGGCTCTCCACCGAGGCCCAGTCCTGCGTTAAGGAGGGTGGGTTCTGCATGGGCTCTCTAACAAATAGGTAAGTAGGAACTTCAACCTTGTTTCGATGCTACTGCAATCGCCTTAACCTGCAATGGCCTACTTTTAGATTGGAGTTAGTGACGTCAGGGGGAGGACTTAGCCTCACTGGGGCGTGGCTTTCAGTCCAGCCTAGATGCGTCTGTGGGCGTGGCTTGGCAGGTCGGGGGGTGTGGCCCAGGTCTTTTGGACGTTCCTGCTTCCGGATTAGATTATAGTGCTCAGATTCTGGCTCTGCTTTCTTACTTAGGTTCTGCCTCATGGAAACTTCTGCGGCCGCTGCATCTGCCGGGGGCTTCTTCCCCTCGTTCCTGCTCCTGGCGTTTGGGACACTGGTGGCTGCCGTGCTGGGCGCCGCTCACAGACTGGGGCTCTTCTATCAGCTGATGCACAAGGTGCTTAGGGCAGAAGGAGGGCTAGGGGAAGGAGGGAACTAAAAGTGCTTCTTCAGGTCATCCACTGTGCAGGTGTGGAAAGCGAGTTCCGACTAGTCTAGAAGTGGCTGGTTGGGAGATACTTTACTGAGCTCTGTCCCTTTGCCAAACTGTATATGGGCCTGAACTTTGTAACTAGTACGAGATAATGGGGAAATTGTCGTTGTCTGGACAGCACACACTCTCCGCCTACCTCCATACCCAGAAGCCTGAGTCATTTTAACAGACCAGGCTTTTTAAACGTAGTGAGATTGGTGGGCTGAAAGTAGGCAGGGAAGGAATGGGCTCTAATAGTAAGCTCTTCCTGGAGAGGGGCTTTCTTGGCATATCTCATACCACCTTCACCAAAGTAGGTGCTGTCCTTGTGCCCACAGGAAGCAAATGATCCACAGAAAAGTTTAGTATTTGCTCTAGATGACAGGTTTGGAAAAAGCTGACCCCACAAGTCATACTCTAAACCACTTGTTCTATTCTTGTCCTTACCCAACCCAATCCCTTCTCTTCTTGTCAGGGACAGTGTCACTGACCTTGAGGTATGTGGGGATTGTGAAGCTACTGAGGCTTGAATGCTCAGGGCAGTCTGTGCCAGGAGTCACTTCTGTGCTAGGCATATGGCGGCTGGCAGCATGTCAGCTGGACGTGTGCCTCACCAGCAGAGGGAGAGGGAGGTAATAGGCTGAATGGAATTAGCACTCCAGGTGCCAGGCCTCAGGGGTACTAGGAAACAGGGACAAGTATAAGCCAGGGGCCTTCTGCCTCTCTCAGGCTCTCCTGGATTCTGTAGAGTTAACCTCCATCTCCTTTTTTCCCAATTGGCTCTGGAGCAGGCAGTGTAATCTCCAGAGCCACTTAAGAACATAGGCTCTATCTCAGTCTGCTACTTGGTAGGCTGGGGAAAGATGGTCACAAGTTTAAGCCCTCCTAAGCTACACAAGGAGTTCAAAGCCAATCTGGGAAGCCTAGTGAGACCTTGTCTCAAAATCAAAGTAAAAGGAAAGCTGCTGATAAATTCAGTGGTAGAGTGCTTGCCTAACACTGTCTATGCCTAGGGTTTAATCCCCAGTACAGCTTCAAAAAGAACATGGCTTCTGTTGGACTCTATCACTTGGGCAAATCTTGGTGTTTTTAGCTGTAGGACAAAGAGAACAATAAGATTTACTGAGTCAGTGTACCTTTCTCTGAATTGGGTTTAAAGTGGTATGTCTCTAACCTGCATCTAAATTCCTCTGTCCTCTTACCTTACTCCTGCCTGTTCTTGTACCTGCTCCTGGGCTGGCCTCTGACTGTTGGATCCTCATCTCCTCTGGCCCAGGTTGACAAGACAAGCATCCGACATGGTGGAGAGAGTGTGGCAGCCGTGCTTAGAGCCCACGGAGTACGCTTTGTATTCACTCTGGTTGGTGGGCACATTTCCCCACTGCTAGTGGCCTGTGAGAAGCTGGGCATCCGAGTGGTAGACACACGCCATGAGGTCACTGCTGTCTTTGCTGCTGATGCTGTGGCCCGCCTGACTGGTAAGGGCTAGGGGGTTGGCAGGACAGTGACATGGGCCTGTGAATGAGAGGCAGGGGGGTTGGGGATGGGACAGTGGTTGTCATCAGCTCTGTCTTCCAGGGACAGTAGGCGTGGCTGCAGTGACAGCTGGTCCTGGCCTCACCAACACCGTGACTGCAGTGAAGAATGCACAAGTGGCACAGTCCCCAGTCCTGCTTCTGGGTGGGGCTGCCAGCACCCTGCTACAGGTGCCTAGTCCTTAAGGGTGGGCAGGGTCCCCAAGACGGCTTCTCAAGCTTATCTGATAACTGTCCCACGCCTTCTCTGCCAGAAACGGGGCGCACTTCAGGCCATTGATCAGATGTCTCTGTTCAGGCCACTCTGCAAGTTTTGTGCTTCTGTGCGAAGGGTACGGGACATTGTACCTACCCTGAGGACTGCAATAGCTGCTGCCCAGTCAGGCACCCCAGGTAGGTGGAGGAGGGAGCTGGACAGTAATAAAGCCCTGGAGTTTGGGGATTGCTGCAGCAGGTGCTATAGGCTGCATCTCCCTGTCCCTTCAGGCCCAGTGTTTGTGGAGCTGCCTCTTGATGTACTATATCCTTACTTCATGGTTGAGAAGGAGATGATACCAGCCAACTTGCCCAAGAGCCTCATGGGTCGAGTGGTTGTCTGGTGAGTCCTGGTATCTCCTCTATAGCCTTCTTCCATTTTTTGCCTTTTTTGTGGTCTTCTCCCTAAATACACACCTCCTCCTTTGACTCATTCTTTGAGTACACATGGACTTGGAGGAACCAGCTATAGGGAAAGCATTTCTTGTAAAAGCAATTCATGTACAAAGGTCCTGAGGCAAGAGGGAGGAACTTGGTAGATCTGGCAAATCAAGGCATGGCCCTTATGAGCAGAAAGAGGAGAAAGGCAGGCTTGAGAGTTTTCCTATCTTCCTTTTCTTTCTTCTCTTCTGCCATCTCTGCCACCTCCTCATTCCTGGTTATCTCTAGCTTCTCACTTTGTTTTTATCTTGCCCCTCCCCTCTCAGATATTTAGTGCGTCAGATCTATGTGCTAGATAGCAGAATAGGCATGGAGTGACATCAGTGGACAAGATATTCAGGTTCCTATGATCTGGTGTGCAAGGACTACTTTGAGTGCCAGATCAAGCAAAGTGATTTTGTTTTGTAGCCTTGGCCAAAAAATTCTGGCCCGGAACTCTGTGTAGCCCAGGCTGTTCCAAAGCTTGAAAATTCTCTTTCAGCCTTTCCAGTGTTGGGATCACAGATAGGTGCCCCAAGTCTGTCTTTAGTCTTGTTCTTAAGGCTCCCTGACCTCTTGGTCACTTTGTCCTCTTGTCTCCATGTCCTGTCTCCCACTTGGAAGATGGGCTCTTTCCTTGCCAACGTTGTTGGTTTTCTGAGAGAGGAGTTAGCTGTGTAGCCGTGCTGGCTCGCTATGGCTGTGAGTCCATTTGCCTCCGTAACGCTGGTGCTGGAGTGTCTCTCCCTTCTAAACCAAGTCCCCATGGCTTCCTTTATTCTTGGCCTCGTGTTAACTTCCTATAGCCCTGACTCTAGCGGACAAAACAGGCTTTGGCTCTGAGCTCTGACTGCTTCCTGTGTCTGTCTTTAGTGAGATTGCATGTTCCTTGAGGGCAAGGCCTGGGCAGGATTTCTTTTTGTGTCACTGGGCCTTAGAAACTCAAGGCCTGAGGCCTAGTGAGTAGGGAGACAGAAGGCACTGCAAGAACTGACTGGGTAACATTAATAACTCCCACAGACTGCATTTTGCAAAGTGTTTCCCTCCTTCCCTTGCAGTGGTGCTGGAGATGGAAGCTGAGGCTTCATATACACTAGGCAAGGGCTTTCCACTGAGCCACACTGTGCCCAGGCTGCAATGTGCATTATCACCTGAGAGGGTAGACATGGGAACTTCCCCATTTTACATAGGAGGAAGCTCAGAATGAAGGAACTGGTCTGAAGTCACACAGCTGGGGTGCTGTAGGGCCAGGGTCTAACAAACAGCCCTAGTTTCTATGCTGACATTCTCTGCTCCTGTTATGTGTTTCTGGGAACTGTGTCAAATTAGTTAGAGTGGCTACCTGAAGGGTTGGGGTTGGAGACTTGGTCATTTAGTGTCCCTGTATCATGGTTTATCCTCCCTGATTCCTTTCCTGGCCCTTTGCTTTTCTTAACCTTCAGAATCCTCTATTAACCATGGTAACTGGTTTCTACCTGTTCTCACAGGTATTTACAGAACTGCCTGGCCAACCTCTTTGTTGGGGCTTGGGAGCCCCGCCCCGAGGGACCTCTGCCCTTGGATATTCCCCAGGCGTCTCCCCAGCAGGTGACTTTAACTCTGCTTCCTGGCGATGACTCCCATTCAACAAGTGTTGCACATCTTCTCTTTGGACCAGCACTGAGACCTCTATCTTGTGGGCTGGTGGCAACTCCAAGATGGGCCTTTAAAATTTTTTAAAATGTATGTGTGTGTGTGTTTGTGTGTGTGTTGTATGTTTACTACTGCTTGCATGTGGAGGTCAGAGTACAACCTTGTGGAGTCCGTTCTCACCTTCTGCTTGTACACGGGTTCTGGGGATTCAGCTGAGGCTTTCCAGAAAAGTGCTGTTGCCTGCTAGCTAGCTGTCTTGCCAGCCTGTGGAATGGCTCTTCGGTCTCTACCTATTACTGTAGGTCCAACGCTGTGTGGAGATCCTGAGCCGGGCTAAGAGGCCTCTGCTGGTGCTGGGGAGCCAGGCCTTGCTGCCCCCGACCCCTGCCAACAAGCTTAGGTGAGGAGCCCCCACCTTATGTTAAAATTGTGGTCTTGGTCTCTGGTGTTCTAGTGGCCCTGGTCATACTGACATCTGTTCTGCCTGGACCCCCTTCCCTGCCAGGGCTGCTGTGGAGGCCCTGGGTGTCCCCTGCTTCCTTGGGGGGATGTCTCGGGGGTTGCTGGGCCGCAACCACCCTCTCCACATCCGGCAGAACCGCAGCGCTGCCCTGAAGAAAGCAGATGTTGTTGTCCTGGCAGGTGGGCTCCGCCTCCTCTCCTTCCCTTCATCTGGCCCTGACATTGCCTATCCTCAGATGTAGCACCCTTCCTTTGTGATCAATCTTCCTCTGCATCCACCCCTGTGCCTTCTAAAGGCCATTGAACAAACCTGAATATTGCAAGCCAGCAGACTCACCCCAGACTGCAGGTTTGTGCTGTGACCTGGCTTCCCCGAGAGGATGTACCCTGTGGGCACTTGCTGTGTTTTACATACTTTTTACAGAAAGCATTTTGTAGCCCATCAAGCACAAAATAGCTTTTGCTCTGTACAGCTATGTACTGCTTAATGACAGCATGCATTCTGGGGATGTGTCAATAAGTGATTTTCTTGTGTGGATTTTGAGTGTGCATACACAAGCTAGGCCCATTCACAAGACCACAATCTTGTGTATGAACTCTTACTGACTGAAATCTTGATTAGCTATACAGGACTATGATGGTACCCCATATTCAGTGGTTATGGCAAGTTCATGACTGCTCATGTCTTACCAGTAGCTTACATAACAATGCTCTGTTTGGCTGGGCTCATGTATGACCCAGGGGATGGTGGAAGGTGGGGTGTCTGTCTCTGTGGCCAATTATGTATGTCTCAGATTGGGAAACTGAGTCTTCACCTGTGCTCCTCACACTACCCTTCAAGGTCCATGTGTCCTCTGTCCCCCAACGCCACTCCCAGCAGACCAGCCTGGTTGGGTAACATGCTTCCTGTTTTTGTTTTCTTCTTTGTGGTTTTGAGGCTAGCACCTAGAACCCAGGATCTTACATGTGATAAACAAGTATCGTGTACTACTGGGCTACATACACCCAACCTTCATGGCCTCTTGAGTTCTTGTCTCGGGATGGCACATCATTGCTTTTACCATGCTTGATCAGAGCCATTCAAGGAAAGCCTGTCCAGAATTAAGAGCTGTAAGTCACGCTGGCTCGAACGGCCTAGTGGGTGAAAGTGCTTGTTGCCGAATCTGATGACCTGAGTTTGCTCTCTGGAACTCACATCATGGGAGAAGGTTGCAAGTTGTCTTCTGTCCTAGTGGATAAAACCCACTCCCCCCAATAAATGTAAACAGCTGTAAAGTCCCTGCAGGTGGCACAGATACAGGGACAGTACAGAGTGGGGACGGTTGTACATTCGGTGTGCCACAGTGAATTGGAAGTGAGGTAGTGCCCACTGTCACCCTACTGTTACCTCAGGTGCTGTGTGTGATTTCCGCCTGTCTTATGGTCGTGTCCTCAACCGCAAGAGCAGCATCATCACTGTCAACCGGAACCGGGATGATATGTTGCTCAACTCGGACATCTTCTGGAAGCCTCAAGAGGCTGTGCAGGGTGAGCATACCCCAAGGGTCCCTACCATGTGCATGGTGTCTTCTTCACCTTGCCTCTGCTGCAGCTAGCTTGAATTTAATGTCAGGTCTGGAGCATGCACCACGAGACACTTGAGCAACGCGAGACACATTTGTCTGCACACTGATGGGTGCTTCTGAAGGAGCAGAGGGAGGTTTGGGGTTTCTCTGGTGACAACTCCTGAATGCTGTCTGTTGGTTTCATCTGGACCGTGGTCTTTGGGCCTTTCTGTTATTCTTACCCTCCTGGTTTTTGCCACCTTTTCATGCTGGACACTATTCTAAGGACCTGCATTCTTTTGTAGCATAGGCAGCAGGGTCCTTTTGACTTAGCTGGTGAAGTGGTACCACTTTGTGTGTTTAAGAAGGTCCCTCCTAGAAGTTGGTGGATAGCAGGCTGAAGTTGGCAGGCTGAGGCAGGGGGGGGCTGTTAGAAGGAGCTGGACTATCTGGGAATGCTGCTGCTTGCCTGTGATTCCAGCTACTTGGTGGGAGGGAGGTGGGGGTTCCCTCCCACCTCAGAGGCCAGATGATTATCTGTTTGAAGTATGTTGGTATAACTTAACTTAGCAAGGCCTATCTCAAAATAAAATAAAAAGAACTTGAGTGTCACCCAAGTAGTGTGTACTTGGGTTTTGTTTGTTTGTTTTGAAACAGGGTCTCACTATGTAGCTCTGGCTGTCTTGGAACTCACTATATAGACCATCTTGGCCTCAAACTCACAAATATCTGCCTCCCAAGTGTAGAGATTAAAAGAGTGTACCACCACACCTGGTGATGGTGGTGCACATTTATAATCCCAATATCGAAGTGGGAGCAACACTGAAAATTTGAGCCAAACCCTGGTCTAACATTGAGTTTAGGCTACCCTAGGGTACAGTGTGATATCCTGACTCAAAAAAAAAAAATGCCCAAGGGGAGGCAGGGGTTTGCTAAGTTTGGTGGCATAGGCCTTTTTAATCCTAACACTAAGGAGGCTGAGGCAAGGAAATTTCTGAGTTCAGGGACAGCTTGTTATACATAGAGAGTTCTAGGCCAGCCAGCCAGCACTGCATAGTAAGTGAGATCCTGCCTTAAAAAACAAAGGAAAACAAAATAAACAAGGAAATAAAAAAACATAACCAAAAAGGGGCTGACAAGATGTTAAGAAGGTAAAGGCATTCACTTGCCAACCTGATGACCTGAAATTGAGCCCCAGAACCCACACTCTCAGTGTTGCTTACCCACTCCCAATATATATACACAATAAGTAAATAAATGAAATACAGTCTTTTTAGGTGCTCGAGTGTTTATATGGGATGCTACAGACCCTAGGTTTGGCCCCTATTACTGCAAATTTAACAGATGGGGGAGAAAGCAGAAATTATATGGCCTGGATGGGGACAGACTGAGTGAGAAACACATCTCTGAATGGATGTCTGCTGGTTTCTCAAGGGACGGGAGGGATGGGAGAAAGCTGTCAGCCATTTAGTGCTTGCTGTGAGTTCTTATGTGCGTGGGCTTGCGAGATTTCTTAGTGGGTGACATATTTTGGAGGCAGAATTGATCACTGAGGTGTGAGGAGCAGGGAGGTAATGAGGCCCGCATGGGTTTGCCAATTCCCTGCACCTCATTTCCCAGGCCTTGCCTTCCATCTTGCCAGGACCCCCTCATGGCTTCTCAGAGACGCTTTGAGGGGCTTCACCTGCTTTGTCCTAAGATCACTTCTGCCCCACTTTCCTGCCTTCCTTTCAGATGCTGTTAGCTTCGTTTTGTATTTGGAGCTCTGGTGCTGGAAGGGCAGGAGAAGCTGCCATTCTAAGGCTGGTCCTACAGCTGCGCTTTCTTCCTTTCCTAGGGGATGTGGGCTCCTTCATAACCAAACTGGTGGAAGGCCTTCAGGGCCAGATGTGGTCCTCAGATTGGGCTGAGGAGCTTCGGAAAGCTGACCAGCAGAAGGAGCAGACCTATCGGTCAGTCTGGGTCGAGTGGACACAGCAAGTGTAAGGAGGGGAAGGGGCTGATACCAACCAGCCCTACTGACTTCTGCTGTCCTGTTGCAGGGATAAGGCTTTAATGCCTGTATTTCAGCACCTGAACCCAGTATGGGTGTTACAGCAGGTGGAGGAAACTCTACCCGACAACGCACTTCTTGTGGTTGACGGTGGGGACTTTGTGGCCACTGCTGCCTACTTAGTACAGCCCAGAGGGCCCCTGCGCTGGCTCGATCCTGGTAAGGAAAGGTCTACACCAGGGGCAGCTTGCACTCTATGTACCCTTCACAGCAATTTGATCTTAACTTTCTAGGGGCCTTTGGGACTCTGGGAGTTGGTGCAGGTTTTGCCCTTGGGGCCAAGCTGTGTCAGCCAGAGGCCGAGGTGAGGCATTGGATTTGGGAGGCTAGCTGCTTTCTAGGCTGCGAACTACCCTAACTGCCCTGGGTCATCTCCCCCTCTGCTCCTTCCAGGTTTGGTGCCTGTTTGGGGATGGAGCCTTTGGCTACAGCCTCATTGAGTTTGACACATTCGTCAGACATAAGGTGACTGTGCAGCCCTAAGGGAAGCTTATGCCCAGGGTTCTGGGATATGTCATCCAGGATGGGCTGAGAGTTGGGGGTTTTCCTCAGTGAGCCCCAGCCCCTGTCTTGTTGCTGGTCAAACTTTTGAATTGAAGGCTGCCACCTGGCCTCTTTTTTTTTTTTCTTTCTACAGGTACCAGTGATAGCCTTGGTAGGGAACGATGCAGGTTGGACCCAGATTTCTCGGGAGCAGGTTCCCAGGTTGGGCAGTGACGTGGCCTGTAGTCTGGCTTACACTGGTGAGGGGTCATGATGTTTTGGGCCCAGCTGGGCTGTTACTCTCCTGGATGGACCCTCTGCTATTGCCTGACATATTTTCTTTTTAGATTATCACAAGGCAGCCATGGGCCTGGGAGCCCAGGGATTGATACTCTCACGAGAAAATGAGGATCAAGTGGTCAAGGTGCTTCGTGATGGCCAGCAGCTGTGCCAGGAGGGTCATGCCGTTGTGGTCAACATCCTGATTGGGAGGACAGATTTCAGAGATGGCTCCATTTCTGTGTAGGGATTATACAGGGTTAGTGTGCTTGCTTCTTTGTACCTGGACTTTGCCTAGCTTATCTGGTGTCTTCATCCTTGCCTGCTCTGAGCTTGTCTCACAAGGTCTAACCCTCTGAGTGGGGAATGGGGAGACCAAAGAGCAAAGAGGCACCTTGGCAACCCTGGGTAGCTCTTTCCACAGGCCCAGCTGTTCCCTTTCTCTCTTATAAAATTAATAAATCTTTTGGCTATATGAGCCCAAGGACTCAGTCACAGAACCTGTGTATACTGGTTTATTTATTGTCCACAAAGATGGAAGAAGTGGAAAGTGGGAGGCAGGAAGGGTCCCTAACTCTCCCACTCGATCACTGGGGATTTTGGGGTGCCAGGGAATGGAAAATCCTATCCCACTCTATGGTCCCTGAAAAAGTTCCACATGCCCACTCCTCATAGGCCAGTGCACACGAGTCCTCACACACAGACACACACATGCATGGAGGCAATAAATATTTTCCGTACCAAAGATCCCCCAGCCTGATACCTCAGGTGGGTCCCTCCAAAAGGGGAGGGATTAAGTGCTCTGTTTTTCAAGGGTGAGAAAGGGCTGCTGGGGGAAAGGAAAGGTCAGACTCTGTCTCCATTTGCTGGTTGGAGATTCATCTTGGAGTTTTTCCTAGAAGAGAGGGTTGGGGGAAATCAGCTGTTTTCTATAAGCTCCAGGCTGCCCTTTCACAGATAGAGGCTAAGTCTGGTGCTGTTTCCCTTAAGCAGAACCCCATGATTGTCTTTAGACAAGGGAGGAAGAGACAGAGTGTAGCGCTCAATGCTAATACTGTTTTGGTTGGCAGCAGCAAGAGGGTTGACTAGGGATGTCTTAACACCCCAGGGTGATGCTCACAGTAATTGGTGTTCCCCTGCAAAGGGGAGGCAAGAGAGGCCAAACTAGCAAGCAGAACTGTCTCCGGCAGCAAGAAAAGCCCCGGTGCTAAGGAGAGGAGCCATGGCATCAGTGTCAAGAAAATGCCAAGAGCCTGGTTTTTGCAGCTAGGGCTCAAACAATGGCACTAGGAATTGGGAATGATTTTTAGCATGAAAGGCTGGTCCCTTGGCAACTCCCTAGCAACCAGGCGCTCAGTCTGAGCAACTCTGGTCAGGTCCTTTTAGGTGGTCAGGGCCTTAGTAACTTGGAACCCAGTCACTAGTAATGAGAACCTGGTCCTTAGCAACCAGGAAGCAATTCCTTAGTAACCAGAGTCCATCCCCTGCTTTGAGGGCTTAGAGGCACACATTGATCTGCTTGGAAAGTTCTCTCTCCAGATCCAGGATGAGGGCATCAAAGTCTTTGAGATTCAGGTGTGGGTTGAAGGGTGCATCAAACACATCTTCGAAGTCGGTAGTGCTCCTCGGCTCTCCAGTCTCATCCTCGTCTTCCTCACTGTCGCTGCCGGTCACGTGGTCATAGTCAGGCCCAGACAGGAAGTCCCGCCCACGCGGCAGTAAATCTCCTCCGCACACGCTCCAGTCGCCTGCATAGCGATTGCTTGGGGGACTTTCAGGGCCTCCGCGGCCCCGAGGCCGAGTCACCACTTCTGGGCCTGCCAGCGGCAAGTGCAGTGATGGCTGTCGTTTGGGCCGCAAATACGGTGCGACGTCTGGGGTCTCTGAGGGCCGGCGGGTATCTGCGGGGTCCACAAGGAGGACTAAGTTGTGATGCAAAGGTGTGGCATTCTAGGTCCCTGATTGGCCTTTTGAGAGGCAAGCTTACAAATTTAACCCACCCCCCAAGAGGCGTGGCCCTCAGGTTCCAGCCCATGATTGGCTAGTAGGGAAGCATCAATGTAAGGGAGCCTGACTGGGATGGGCGGTGTTCACCTGGCCAAGACTGTAACAGGTAGTGCAGGACTTCAATGTGGCGCTTGAAGTCCACAGCGCTGGTGACTCCTGGGCCGGAGCTACGGAGCCGGGGCCGAGAGGGTGTTTGTCTCGCTGGCAGCAGCACTGGCCCGAAGCACACCGCCAAGTTCTGCGGGGTCATGCGGTTGTGTGTGTGGAAGGAGGAGACAAGGCGCAGATGGTCCAGAAGAAGCGTCAGCGTGGCCTGTGGAGAGGGTTGCCAGGGTGGGCACGAGGTGGGCAAACCTGAACTCTTGTGGCACTTGCAGGATAGTCAGGAGTGGCTTATAGTGAAGAAACTTGAGTTCAGGTTCTCATAGCCATAGGGGAGGTGTTAGTATTAGGAATGTATTTTGTGAAGTTGAGATTAAGGCCAAGGGCAATTTAGCTTTGCAATGGAAGGGTTTGAACTCCAACACACACTGTGTTAGGCAATTTCAAGGACTTTTCTAAGGTCTTTCTGCCAGTAGTTTTGCTTGTTAGGTTGGCAGATCTATTTGCTCAGTTTGCTAGCCAGCCCAGCCTGGCTTGTAGGTGGCTATGTGGCTCAGACTGGCCTCCAACTCGGAATCCTCTTGCCTTTGACTCTCGAGTGCTAGTAGTAGAGGCATGTAACTCCGTGCCTGAGTAGAGTGCATTTGAAGAAATCTTGGCTGTTTCACCTCAGGCAAATCACTAATCTGAGCCTTGATATTTTAACCCAGGAATTGACAGATGAATATCAAGTACTTTGTTGGCATGTGATGATCATATTTGCTGACTACATCTCAGGCATGCTTAAAGCACTACACTGGTATTAGCTGCTCTATGTCCCAAAGTTCCTAGCACCACCAACTCACCCTCTCCACATCTGGCAGGCAGCTGAGGAGCCCTCTGGTACCGTCAGGACCCAGGGAAGCCCTGCTTGGGTGTCCTTGGGCCATGGCCTCCAGCACCACCTGGTAGAGGGGCTGGGTGATGAGTGGAGTAGGCAGCTCCCGAAGATAATCCTTGAGGATGCCTGTGGACAGAGGGGCCTCTCTGGTAAAGGCAGCCTGGCTTCTGAAGCCAGAGGGTTCATTGGGGCTGACAGTGGTAGTGAGAAGAGGGTAGGTATTAGAAATGAAAATAAGATCAGACAGGAGGGAGGAGGCTTCACTGGGGCCTCCAGACCATCCTGGAGGTGACGGTTGAAAGAAATGAACAGGCAATGGAGAGATGTTGTGCTGACCTGTGATGACATTGATATCAGGGTACACGTCTTCAGAGAGGCACACAGCTGCACTGTCCTGCTCAAAGGCATCTCGAAGCTCTTTCTTCACTGCTGCTGAGCCACAGAGACGGTACAGCCCCACTACCTGGGGATAAAGACAGAGAAAGAGCATCTTCCTGGGGGCCATAGACAGCAAGGCCTGGCTGTTTGGCCAAGGGTGACTGTGGATGTTATGGTCTGGGAGAGTAGGGCCATTCACATGCATCTTCACTGGCTGCCTTCCCACTGCTGTCACAGGGGCTCCTGAGCCAGGCCAAGGCAGGAGGGTCACCTAGGCTATAGATTACAGTGTGTGTTCAAGGCAAGCCTGGGAAACTTGGTGAAACCTTGTCTCAAAAAGTAAACTGAAGGCTAGGGGCTCAACAGTAAAGTGCTTGCTGGGCCTGTATGAGGCCCTGTGCTCAATCCCCAGCACCAGGAACAAAACAAAACCCAAGACACATAACCTAGCATTCTAAATCCATCAGGTTGGACCACCTGTCTAGAGTCGCTTTCATCTGACTTCATAGTTCACATCTTCCAGGAAGCCTTCTCCGACTAACCCAAGCAAGTCAGGAAGTCGGGGCCTGCTTTAAGCTGTCCTGGACCCCACCCCCTTTCTTTTTTTTTTTTTTTTGAGACAGGTGCCACCATGCTAGGTTACCTCCTTTCTTAATTCCCCCTGTCAGCTAGTTTGACATTTATGAAAGCCAATTATCTTTCTCACTCCAATGAGGTCCATAAGGGCTGAGATCTTGTAATAAAATGGACAGATGCTGTGGGGGAGTGCTGGTTGGTGAACGGGTACCTATGTCTAAGGTAGCAGGAGTGGGGGCAGCGGCTCACCCGCAGCCCTCGGCATTCGATCTGGCCCACACACTTTCGGATGATGAGAGGCACCTGGCCTGGGGACTGCTCTCGTTCTACCAGAAGCTGCAGAGGGAGCCCGAAAACACGGGGCTCAGCTGTGGCAGGGGCTTCTTGCTGTTCCGACAATGTTAGCTTGGCGTAAAGAAGTCCCTGGGGTTCCAGTCGAACGGCTAGTTGTTGCGCTTGGCACCCTAAAGATGCAAAGAGGACGGAGCCAGTTTTGTCCTAATGGTTTCTGTGTCCTGACTCCCCTCATCTAGGATGCCCCCTCACTCCCACACTCATGAAACCAGTGGCCCTGGGCACCATGGGAGAAGAGACCCTTAGCTGGGTCTTTGTGTCTTGCTCCCTGAAGTCCCACGTCTTACCTCGAAAGACGGTTGGCAGTAGCACAGTACCCTGGGCACAGGGCCGGTGCCGCCTCACACCAGGGTCCCATGCAAGTACCAAGGCCCGCAGCAGCCGAGCAGCCTCCAGCTCCAGGTGGAAGGTGTGGTCCAGCCTCAGGAAGTCTGGTCCGCCTCGAAGTGGTCCTGTGCGGGCCCGAGCTACCCCATCCACTTGGAGAAGGCAGCAGAGATCTCGAGGAGTAGACCCCGGAGTTGGACGCAGACCCCCTAGCCCATACAGGTGCAGGCTGAGACGACCCCAGAGCGCAGCTGGAGGAGGCCGGGCCGATGGGCCTACTTCATAGGGACGGAAGGCAGTGGGTGATGGTGGTCCCCCAGGACGCTCCGGCGAGTCACCATCGCTGAGGTACCCACCCCTTGGGCTCCTAGTCCCTCCAGCCACTGATGCCTGCCCAGATGTCCGCACACTGCTGTCCAGGTGGTAACGGCTAATGACAGAGCCTTCTGGGGCGGTCCTCTCTCGTTCCCGGCCAGTGCGAGTACTTCTTAGGCTCAGGCGGCGGCGCAGCTCAGGCAGCTTTTTCATCTTCATTGAGAGGCGTCTGGCAGGGCCTGGGGACTTGGTACGGGAGGTTTTGGTAGGGGGGCTTGTAGGGGTTGCACCTGTAGGGAGAGCAAACTTCAGAGTCCAGGGCCTGGGCTTCGAGTATGAATCTTGTCCCTGGGGGGCTGGGTATAATAAGGCTTGGGCACCCCTGGAGTCTGGGATGTGAGGCTTGCACACGCTTGCAGATGGGAATGTGAATATAATACTTCATGCCTACCTTGGATGATTGGGCCTTCTGGCTCAGAGGATGGTAGCTGTGATCCCAAGGGCTCAGGTGCTGGTGGTCTGGGGTCTTCTTCAGGGATGGGGTTGTACCAAATCTCACCA